TTTGGTACGAATTTTCTGTAAAATCCTGCTAATCCCAGAAATGCTCTGATTTCCTTGACGGTCCTTGGTATAGGATAGTTTTCTATAATCTCCGTTTTTTCGGGATCAGTCGAACAACCTTCATTAGAAATAATATGACCCAAATATTTCGTTTTACTCTGCATAAAATGACACTTTGTTGGTTTCAATTTCAACCCGCTTGATCGCATTCGGTCAAATACATGCCTTATAATCTCTCAAGATGTTCATCAACATCGTCCTTACTGAATACAATAATATCATCCAGGTATACTAAACATTCAATTCCTGTTAATTTTGACAATACCGAGTACATCAATCTCTGCCAACTTGCAGGGGCATTAATCAATCCAAAACTTAATCTCGTGAATTCATTCTTCTGCTAGCGGCATCTGGTGGTAACCTGAAGCCAAATCTAATACGCTGAATAAAGCACTTCCGCTTAGGGCATCAATAGTTTCATTTAAATTCGGAAGTGGGAAGAAATCTGGTTTCGTGATAGCATTCAAGCCCCTATAATCAATACATAATCGGTATTGAACATCTTCACCTTCATGTTGTTTTTTCTCAATCAATATACAGGGCGATGACCATGGACTTTGTGAATCCTTTATTATTCCGTTATTTAATAAATCCTGTATTTCCTTGTCTAATATTTTCTGTCTTTGATAAGGCACTCGATAAGGTCTCTTTGCTATAGGAGGAACATTTTCTGTAATGATACGGTGTTTCACCATAGACGTACAAGTCAACTTTTGATTAGGGTTTCTAAATACATCAATATATTCCTTTACCAACTTTGCTAATTTTTCTTCTTTCTCACCTGTAGGTTCATTCAATTTCAATTGTTCTAGTATAAGTTCAGTGTCATTTCCGATATTCACATTGTATATTCCTTGTACCCCAGTTGATTTGGATTGATTTTTATTTTCCGTTTCTGCTTCGTAGGCATGTGCAATAACCGTCCTTCTTTGTATAAGGAGATCCTTTTCCAATAAATTCATGAGCCGTATGGGTATCAAATCATTATTTTTGCAGACAGATCTTGCTATCATTAATCCGTGCCTGCTGTCATTACTTTCTACTACTATGTCCTCAGTTGACAATTTTTTTCTGTTCCTAACTTTCGCGGTACAAACTGTTATCGTCCTTGGAGGTAATATAATATCCTCCGATAGATATATATCATGTCCATTCACATTAGAGCGTACTGTACTCACAGGTTTTTCCTCGGAAAAGTTTCCTGAAAGTTTTTCCACTCTCTCTGCATTGTTCAAAGCTTTCTTTCTTTCGAAAAATTCATCATCCTTTCGATTATTTGCCTTGGCTAATAATTCATCATAGATGATTTTACCCTTGGTTTCTTCCTTAGAAACTCCTTGTTTCTTTTCACTCTGTAGAAACCCTGTTTCTCTCACGTTCTGTATAACTTTACACCGCGAACGTTTATTTTCTCTTTTCTCTGTCCTATCCACACTTTTCGCTTGGAAATTTTCGATCGATTCATTTTCTCTTGAGTCCACACAGTTTTCCTCTATTCTCGAGAATCTCTCTCTACCTGAGTACTCATCTGACTCATTTATCCGTTTCCTCTGCGACCTCTTTACCTGGGAACTATCATCTTTCACCTGATCTTCGGAATGAGCTCTATTCCTACTATGTGAAACAGTAATTTTTGGTAGAAAAGTCTTGATGGGATTTTGCTCAGTCAAACGATTTGCAGTCGTTCGAACAGAGGAATCCTTCGTAGCTGCAAACAACGAAGGACTCAAACTATCATCTGAATTACTCGTATTCACTTTGCTCAGGTTCAACAACATATCTTTAATCTCTTTTATCTGATTCTCCATGTTCCTCAATTTACTATCTATGCTATTTGCACAACTCTTTATACCCTCATCTATGTAGCAATCCCCCATAAGTGCTAACTCCATCTCTAATAAATACATCTTACTATTTTCCCAATCTATCTTCACTCCATACTTTTGCAAAAAGTCTAATCCAATCAAATATCCAGTCTGAAAATTTCCATTTCCTATAACCGTGAACTCATGTTCTATCGTTATCTCGTTACTCAACTTGATGGGTACGATAACCTTTCCTTCGTTAGGAATGATATTTCCTTGAATATCCACTAAATTATTTCTTATCATATCTTTTTCACTATCTCTAATACATTTAAACCCCTGGGCGAATTCCTTCTTAATCAAAGATACTGCGGCACCTGAATCAATCAAAACATACTGAAAGGATCCTTGGATCTCAATCTCAGTAAGGTTTTTGAGTTTCGAACTCTCGCAGGTGTAGTTCAGTATCTTTTTGTCAACCACGTTTTCATTCGGTTTTCGAAATTCTGGTAAGCAGTGGCTCGTCGGGGTCAGTGAGCTACTGCCAACTCGTTTAAAGTCTCGTTCGAACTTTCTGATCTATCCTGATAAATTCTTTTCATTTTTACATTACAATATCTCGCAAAATGTCCGATTTTTCGGCAATTATAACAAACAATTTCTTTACTAGCCTTGTTTGCTCGCGGTAAGTATTTGCAGTCCTTTATCAAATGTCCTAGCTTCTTACAACCGTGACAAATTCTTTTTACAAAGTTCTGCCTAAATTCGTTCGCAAAATGACCTATTTTCTGACATTTATAACATTTCCTCTGATTCTCATCTGTTGTTGAATAACTGAGGACATTTGAAGTTCCTCGTTCCCTCGCTCGTTCCTGATTTTTCGTAATATTTTCTATATTCTCTTCTAGTTCAGCAAGTTTCAAAGCATCCGCAACAGAGGTAGGTTGGGCTCTTAAAACTCTTTTTCTCACCGGATTCAATAGCCCCATTACAAAATTAGTTGTAGTGTCGCGATCTAATTTTTGTTCTAAAATAGTATCAACATACCTATCTCCCGTTCTGTTCAAAGTTTTTGCTGCTAATAATTTCAAACGAGCAAGAAACTGCCTACAATTTTCTCCTTGTGTTTGCTTACAGTCCATGAAATTTCTTTCAGACTGTCCTGGAATCTGACTCACAGAAAAATGTTTCTTCAATCTAGCTTTCAATAGTTCCCATTCACGTGTTAATTTCAAATCAGGTTCTGAGTCAACAAATTGTTTAGCTAATCCCTTTAATTTTATCCTGGTTATTGAAACTTTCTGAGATTCTGTCCAATTTGCAATTACCGCTGTTTCCTCAATATTTTCAATGAAATCATCTACGTTTGTTTGCCCACTATAAAATGGTATCGAATCCAAATTTATTGACACTGGTAGAATTATTTCTCGTACCGGAGATACAGGTACCGGAACAGGTAAATTTGGATCAGGCATGATAACCAATGAATATACTTCCTACTCAATTCACACTACACCGGACTGTCACACTGTTCAATAATACTTTCATAACTCCAGGTCATATGAGCTACCTTTCAAATTTCAAGTCAAAAATAAACCGTGCAATTTTCTTATTCTTTTTGAATTCCTCTCTCCAGACTTGCCTCAATATAGGGGTTACCTATATTATACCATCATAGCTCGAAATAACCAGAAAAATTGAAATTTAGATTTTCAACATTCTACAACAAGATCAACCCTTAAAAACCACCCTAAATTGATTAAATTAACCCCACACGACTGACACCAATGTGTTGATCCACCCCTGTATAAGGGAGATGTTGTCAGATTATATACCGAGCGGCTGGTATGTTTATACAGGGTGTAGAATCTACAGCAGATATTAAATTGTGTGGGTTCGGACTATGATGGTGGCAGAATGCAGGAGAAAAACAAAGAGATAGGTAATAAACTATAATCAAAGAAATAAACTACATTCACGATCAGAATCCTAACAAATTCAAATATGCAGAAAACTCAAACTTCTGCTGACTATTCACTTATATCTCAAAGTTAAGAAAATATCTAAAAACTCAAATAATCACTCTATAAATTCATAAAATCAAGAATATTCAATATACAATCAATAATCGTGAACCAGTATAAATTCACCATAGATTTTCCTACAATGAAAACTCTCAACTCAACGTTAATATTCTCCAAAACAACAAATAAACTTCCCTTTATGAACTTCTCCAATATTCCTAGTAAAACTTCATATATTGAAACATAACCCTACTTCTACTCTAAGCCCATATACTAATAGCTAAAACTTCTCTAATCATCCCTTATTTCAAAACCTCTTATCAAGTTAGTTTGCAAAACCCTTATACGTCTAATTTATTAAACAACATCCTAACCCTTGACACTAATAGGTTGACTGACTATAGTTTCTTCAAACTGTCCATTATATTATCGTTAGAAAGTTATGTTGAATGTCAAAAACACTTTCAGTCCTATAGTCTGTTAAATGTAACCACAAAGACATACCAACTTGCTTGGGAGTTGAAAGAATTGCCATGATCTCTTTCTCACTTGCACTGATTCTAATAACCACTATAGATAGGTACTTCTATACACTTCGCGATCTATTCTGATTCTATTGGAGCTACATCTTTACTAGTTGACGCCTCGAGAGTTAATGATCAATTGCCTTCCCATTTTTTACAATGAAGTGTTTTTATAGTCAAAATCAACAAAGCAAGTTACGTCATCCTTGTTATTTGGTTTTAGTTTACTCATGGAAGGGATTTCATAGATTCATATGGCAATAACAATAAATCAAATCATATTCGTTTGTCGGTCTCAATAATTAGCGCATTCTTGGAGATACCAATTTCAAGGTTGATCTAGAGTCATTAAAATAAATATTGAATATCTGAAATTTGCCGACAAAAGATGTTTACTTAACGCGGGTATGAATTCCATTTTTAATATTTCAATATTTTCCTTAGATAGTATTCAGCGGGGCATAACACTGGGCCAGAAGGCGGCCAGAGATTTGATGTATGCTGGGTAGGTATGCAATTATTCCTTCAATTACAGTTTTAGTTTGCAGGTAGGTATATCGACCTGTGAAAAAGGTATTCATACGTACTTAGCATTTGTCAAAATTGGCAAAACTGTTTGCCATAGTGAATCCGTGATATGTGGCATCCCGGATAATCCAATGCCCCATAATTGATGTCCGTGTTTACAGAGGAATTTATAGATCGCCTCTTCGCTCAAATTATCTGAGCTGTCTAAATCCAAGGCTATCTGCGAAAAGAACGGTGTCAATAGAAGAAATCGGGAAGTTAAATGTTATTTCATTTTTCACTTATTCAATTCAGTTTTATATACCATCATATTGTTCATAGCATGGCATCACTCGAACCTTTGTAACGCAGATCTATGTACAGGGTTTTTCAGTTTGTGGCTGACTTAACTTCGATGAGGCATAATAATGCTTATTGAGACAAGAAAAAAATCTATAGAACGTCAAGTTTCCGCTATAAGGATGATGAAGTTCCAAAAAAATAATTGTTTTATCTCCAGTATCTCGATAATCCATCAAGTCCCAATTTTTTTAAAACTTGGTATAGTCTCAGGTAGGGTTGGTCGTGAATATTCGATTTTAATAAAATCTGAATTGTATAGTCCACGCCACGGGAAAGGTTGCAGTTCATACTTCCATGAAAAATAGTACGCGCAACGGTTTATTTCTATGTTTTATTATTTTTTCAAGTTCTGTTTTCAAAAATTAATTCTCTTCATCTCTGGAATTTTTGAGGTATCTACCTATACAGTCTGTCCAAGATAAGGTTGAACAGCATGGGGATCTCGAAAACTGTAGGAGATACGAAGTCGGTTAAATGGGGAAAAAGTTGCGCATTTGGAGGCTCATTGCAAGAGCATTCGAAAATTTTTAAAATTATTTTTAGTTTTTTAGTTATATCGAAAAAATTGAATTTTTGGAATATCTATTTTATTTTTTTTCTCCGTTATTATTAGAGATACAGAAAAACTGAAAATACTTTTTCATAGCAACTTTCGATGACGTTTAACGTGATGGTACCAATTTTTCTATGCGACGTTTCGTATTCGTAGAACCATCATCAACTTTTGTTTTTTAAATACGGTCCTAATAATGTTTTTACAGATTCTGAAAGGTTTTTTCATTCTGAATTCAACCATGTATTATACAAGGTGGTTTATGTGTGTTTCGACCTATTTTTAACCATCATCAATGTTTTTTCGAAATTCCAAAGAAAAAATGTCATCAGTTCCACTTATTTTGAAGGAAAATTAGTCAACACGCTAATACCTCATCAACTGGTGTCAATCAACAACCTATTTCATTTTGCGGAAACAAAAATTTCATCCATACAAATTCAAAATATGTCAAGAGCTAAAACCAGGCGATGACGAAAGGCGCAGGACATTCTGTGAGTGGTATACCAGGAAATGTCGAAATTTTGCAAATTTCCCGCGAACAATCATCTGGACTGGTGAAAGCATGGCCACTAACAATGGTATCTTCGTTAGAAAAAATGCACATTATTGTTCACGAGAAAAATGAAAATGAACATTTATACATTACAGCGAGACACCAACACCGTTTAATATGTGGGTTGCGATATTTGGTACACGAATTATTGGTCCTTTTATTTACTATGAAACACAGACTTCCTAACTTTATAGAAATTTGCTTGAGAATCATCTTGAGGAAGCTCTGGATGATTTACCGATTGCGGAAGTTCAGAACTGTTGGTTTCAACAAGATGGCGCTCCGGTACATAATTCCAGAGAAGTTCGTGCGTTTTTATCCAGAAAAATGGATTGGTACTTATTCTGCAGTCCCTTGGCCGGCGCGGTTACCTGATTTGACACAGCTGGATTTTTTTTAGGGGATATATCAAAAACTTTGTACACTCAAATAGCTTCGATGATGAAGAAGAACTGAGGGACAGTGTCATCGAAGCATTCAATAGAATAACCCCAGAAATGCTTAGTAATGTCTTAGAAGCAACTGTGAGAAGAGGATATCTTTGTTCAGAAAATAATGGTTATCATTCTGAACATTTGTTATAAATGTTTCTGTAGGTATTGTCAAAGTTAAGTTGTTAAAGTAATTCGTGTAAGAATTCATCAACAATTTCAAGCTCTGCATTGAATGATGTAGTGAAATATTTTTTATTCACTTCTCAGTATTGAATAACTAATCCATCAATGTTTGACACTAAATGATCAGAAATAAATGGAACTGATGGCACTTTTCCTTTGGAAGTTCGAAAAAACATTGATGATGGATAGAAATAGGTCGAAACACATTCGAATCACCTTGTCTAATACATGGTTGAATTCAGAATAAAAAAACCTTTCAGAATCTGTGAAAAAATTATCAGGACCGTATTTAAAAAACAAAAGTTGAAGATGGTTCTACAGATACGAAACGTCGCATAAAAAAATCGGTATAACCACGTTAAACGTCATCGAAAGTTGCTATGAAAAAGTATTTTCAGTTTTTCTGTATCTCTAATAATAACGGAGAAAAAAAAATGAAATAGATATTCCAAAAATTCACTTTTTTCGATATAACTAAAAAACTAAAAATAAATTTCAGAATTTTCGAAAGCTCTTGCATTGAGCCTCCAAATGCGCAACTTTTTCCCCATTTAAGCGACTTCGTATCTCCTACAGTTTTCGAGATCCCCATGCTGTTCAACCTTATCTTGGACAGACTGTATATCGCTTTGTTTTCGATGAATAGATTTAATTGTATGATTAACTTTGGAATATATTTGGAGCGACTTGGATCTGAAAGTGTATTGACTTTGATATGTATTGAGTGGTCTCATCCGTGACAATATATAATTACCTATTTAGTTTCTGGGGTAGTTTATTGATGACTTCATATCCTTAAATGACGTAGCGCACCCTTAATTTCCAGCCAGTATGTGAATAAAAAATATTCTTACCAAATTTCTTGGGTTTCCAGCCTCCATCCAAGTTTTAAGAACAGAATCATTGAATCCATTCAATTGTCCTGCACTCAGGAACCTCAGTCCTGGCAGTCTGGTGAGCATATCCTGCAGGCATTCTGTTGACAGATCTGTTGCCGTTATGTCTAGTTCCTGTACGGAACATTTTTCCCATTCAACTTGCATGAGATATTCACTTTGCAGGTCTAGAAATATTCGTAATGTTAGTTTTCATGAAAAAATGTACAAAGCGTAGATGAAGTTTTGCACAAATTTGATTATAAATAAGGCACATAGGAGTACACTTCGAATATACTGGGTGTCTGTTTCATTGATATCATGAATAACTGACTGACTTTTTTTCTACCAAAATTGGATTTCAAATGGGGTTGTATATGTCGGCGTCAATTATTAGTGAAATCGGTCATTTCCTGAAATGTCTAGTCATTTCACGTATTGTCGGCAAACAGCGAACAGCGTAACTTCCATTTTCATCCGTTACTCTGTTGCCGGAGGGTTGAGGAAGGAAAATATCCTTTCTGCATATGCATATGAATGGACACTATTTTTTCATTTTAACGCGTTTTTCATCTTACGAAATATCGTGAATTTCATTATTTTTTTATTCTTCCAACTTTGATAGTTAATATCTTCCGTTGGCGAAAAAAAGCTATCATGTTGCGGTTTTCGTTGGTCTGTTGAGATTTACTTTCTCTATCACATCGTGTATTGATATAGATATGATTAGATTTATTCTATCTCAAACTTGTATCATTATTCATTGCTGAGATATTGCCGACAGCCGTTCTAAGTTCGCCCGGTACAGATTTCTGGGTAAAAAAAAACGGTTTGCGACATAGAACTAGTTAGGGTTAGTACTTCGAAGTAATTTTGTTTTCACTGAAACAGGGCGATTACGAGTTCAATAAAAATGGAGCTGAGTATTTCAAAAAATAATAATCAAACATATTATGTCAATTAGGATACGCGCTTATGAGAAGTAGGTCACTCAATTTATTCATTTTTCCCGCTCTTTCCAACATCAAAACAGATCAGAAAAGTTTGCCATACATCAGAGTGTTGTTTATGAAATAGAAGTTGTCTATTCTTCCTAAAGACGATCTCTATCTCTATATACAGCTGTCATGCGGTAAAATAAGTAAAATATATGTACCAGTATAAAGTGAGTACTTTTTTCCCGGATATATATCACATATACAGGGTTGGTCACGGTCGATGGCACCTTAGACGTTTACGGAGAACGGGACATAAGATTATTCTGAAAATTTGGTTACTCAAGTAATTGCTCTTGATCTATCGATCTAAAATATTTTCATCTCTGCGGCGTTGCCGCTTCTATCGAAAAGTAGCAACAACTTTGTTATTTTAAAAGGAACACCCTGTATTTTATTGCATCTTCAGATTCTCTCTGAAGAGCTGATTTCATCGATATATCACACTTGGGGTCTAGCGGAAATGATTACAGAGATATAGGGTGTGAAAAATCGACATTTTTCAACTTAAGGAATTTTTTTTGTCGAAACTATTCATTATTGGTCAAAACGGCTCACATGTCCCTATCTCAACTTTTGATTAACTATCTACTGATATTTAATTGGGACATATACCGGGTGATCAAGAATCTGAATTCTGCACCACCCTGTATTTGTTTCAATTAAATGTCAGTAGATAGTTGATCAAAAGTTGGGATAGGGACATGTGAGCCGTTTTGACCAATAATGAATAGTTTCGACAAAAAAAATTCCTAAAGTTGAAAAATGTCGATTTTTCACACCCTATATCTCTGTAATCATTTCCGCTAGACCCCAAGTGTGATACATCGATGAAATCAGCTCTTCAGAGAGAATCTGAAAATGCGATAAAATACAGGGTGTTCCATTTAAAATAACAAAGTTGTTGCTACTCTTCGATAGAAGCGGCAACGCCGCAGAGCTGAAAATATTTTAGATCGATAGATCAAGAGCAATCACTTGAGTAACCAAATTTTCAGAATGATCTTATGTCCCGTTCTCCGTAAACGTCTAAGGTGCCATCGACCGTGACCCACCCTGTATATACACTGTTGATGGCTTTTGTTGTACAATAGGTCCGAAAAATGAGTCAATAATACCGTCTCCGAGAAGAGAGTGAGAACCAGGGGCGGATCCAAGGGGGGGGCCATGGGGCCATGCCCCCCCCCCCCTCGGGAACCTCATGGATATGTAAAAATGTAGGTATTTTGAATAAATGAAAAAATTAGTGTATATGTCTTTATAGCTAGAAACTTCGCAACAGCTCTGAGGAATTGCAAATTGCTGTTTGGCAAATATGTTTTCGATAACACTGCCACTCAGTAATTTGCTCCAAACAAAAAACTTAGACAAAAAACAAGCTAACGATGTTGTTAGTATCACTCTTCTGATGACGCATCAAAATAAAAGGGATGCTATTCTAAATACTAAGTATTTCGAATGAAGCCAAACAGAAATTGAAAGAACTGAATGTTGAATTTTCGATGCCGAGAATAACAGGGAGACTGGTTCATAGACCGAATCCTACGGTTTCCTCAGTGGATGACCATTACAGAATGACTATTTCATCCCAGTATTATCCTTGATCTGAATGATAGACTCTCAGAAAATAAATTGAATCTATACAACCTTCACCTTTGTGTGCCATCAATAACTAAAAACAAAACAGAGGAGGGAATATATGAGGTATGAAACTTGAAAAGTTTCCGACCATTTTTGAGGAGAATGATGAAATATCTTTTCAGAAGATCGTTTCTGAAATTTATATATGGAAGAAAAAGTGGGATACTAAGCAAAATATACCAAACAATGGTATAACTGCCCTGAAGGGATGTAACAAACATTTGTTTCCTAACATAAACATATATCCTTCTGGAACCATTATGTTGCCTGCCTGTAAGTGTTACATCTTCTGAAAGAAGTTTTTCAACACTCAGAAGGCTGAAAGATTGGATAAGATCCAGAATATAGTCCAAGACAGGTTAAATGGATTGGCATTGATTCATATTCACAGTGGCATCTGCAGCAGTCTGAAATATTTTTATTCACTTTTGAACCCAAGCTCTTCAAGTGAAATATTTTTTTATTAACTTTTTTTATCCAATATGATTTATCACAGAATTCTACATATATTGATGGAATAAGAATAGTTTTAACGTTTTTTACACCAGTAATTTCGATACTTGAAAGGAAACTAAAGATTTCATGTTTACTATAATCAATTTTTTAATGAAAAAGGGAAAAAGCATATATCTCAGAAGGTCACCATATAATTTCTCTTCCGCGCTAACCTTATTGAGCCGTGACTTTCTATGGCCCCCCCCTCAAACATCGTCTGGATCCGCCCCTGGTGAGAACTGCAAGTCCTTTTATCTTCCAATTCGACTTCGCGGTTACGTATATTACTAAACAACCACTAAATTCGCAATTTTTTGAAATCGAATCACAGAATTAGGCTGACCGAAATGACATCAGATATTTGATCACTTCAAAAGAATAATAAAGATGCCTACAACGCAGGTGTCCCTACTGTTAAAAACTTAAAATTTCACGTCGAAAATTTTCAGATTTCAAAATAATGTAATATCTTCTCAATATTGTCACAGAAAAAAATAGTGTATCATACACGGGAAAAATATTAGATTTTAGCTCACGGTTTTTTGTCTCCCTCCGCTACGCGTCGGGAGACAACACAACCTAGAGCTGAATTCTGCTACTTTTTCCCCTTGTATAATAAATAACTATTTATCTACTCACTGATTAGTAGGCGTCTGATCGCCCTCATTTAAGGAAACAAAGTTGTCGATTTACTCCCACGGGAGGAAGAAAATATTACTTCCCGTGGGAGATAAAATAAATTGGCTTCAACATGCATCCTTTGGCGTCGATATAGATACCAATATGTGCAATCCAAGTAATTAGTGTCTTTATCACTATTATAAAACAAATAACAATAACGCTCATACGCTCATAAAAATAGCGAGGCGTGAAAGAATCTTGCTAAATTACCGAAACTTCATGAAACATTCATTCGAATTCACATTTTCATTATCACAATTTTTTGTGTAATAATTGGAAACGGTCGTTATATTTTCGACTTCCAGTGGTGAATTCATGAACGACCCGAAGTCTCAACTCAAGAAAGTTGTGTGATAATAGTGTATTTACTCACTTGGTAGTCTTGGTACATAAAATGAAACGAATATTCAGACTTTCAAATAGCCCTCTTACATCGCAGCATGGTCAGTCCATAATGAAAGCACAATACACTCACTCAACTATACCTAATATAATATCAATCACGGAAAAAAAGGATTTGTTGCATCAACAAATTATTTATACTTAAATTATTTTTGTTGGACTAAGCAATTTTTTGTTGAATCAACCAGATAAATGATTATTTCATGGAAGCAGCTTGTTCAAATCAAGAATGTAGTCTAATTGATTCAACAGTATAATATCAATTCCATCAACAAAATATATGGTTTTATCAAAAACAAATTATGTTGATCCAGAATAATGTCGATGTTGATTCTATTATAAACATTTCGTTGATTTGATCAAATAATGATCATTTTGATGGGAATATATCTTTGGAACAACATACAAGTTTTCTTATTCCGATGTAGCAATGAACTTGTTTCGAACGGATCATTTGCTTGAATAGAGCAACGAAATATGTAATATCAGTGAAATATTTTGTTCAGTCTACATCAACTTAAATTTTTGCCTCTAGATGGAGATCATTTCGCCTCGTCTATGCCTGCCTCGAATCCATTATATACGTGAAGCCTGATTCTTCGTGTTTGAAATATCAACTAGACAAATCGAACTTTGGATGATTAGCAATCCTAAATTGTTTTCCATCAGCTGAAGAGAAGTAAAGACTGATGATCTATGCTAATGTGAAATTTCAGAAAATTCCCGAATATTGAATTTGGTTCAACAAGACAATTTGTCGAATGGATATATAGTTTCTCTTGAATCAACAAAATATTTCATTGAATCAAACAAATATTTCATTGAATCAAACAAATATTTCATTGAATCAACCAAATATTTCTTTGAATCAACCACATATTTCGTTGAATCAACTAAATATTTGATTGAAGCAATATCTTATTATTTTGAATTAAACAAAATGATTGTTTCAGCCAATTCAATATCTCTCCAGAACCATTTATGGATGTGCTTGATTAAAGAAGATCCAGAGTTCATGCAAGACATATTTACTTGATTCAAACTCCAAATTCGCTCTGAAACAAGATATAGATTTACTCATTTCAAGATTATATTTTGTCGTGCATATATGACACTTTTATTTGCTCCATTCAATTAAATTTTGCTTGATTCAACAATTCCATTTTTTCCGTGATACCTGCTTAATAAACTACTGAAATGTTCTTAATGATTATCATTCATAAGAATTTATATTTCTATTCGAAATTTGATTGAAATCATGAATATGTCACAATTGAAGAGTGGTCACACCAGAGGAATTATAAACATCTCAATTGAAACTGTCTTTCTGTTCCAGATGTTCATTCATGTGGTCTTATTTGTTAAGTATAGCAGGCTATGAAGAAGGCGCATTCCAAAATTATGCACACTATATATGGAGGTTATTGAACAAATAAGTTCAAAAAGCCCGTTATATGAAATAATGAATTGCCACCACATAAAGTGGAGCACACTGTATAAATGAGCCTTTTCATCTCTCTTAGTTTTTCTTCGAACATTACGCTCATACGCTCATAGATCTAAATACACGATCTAATGATACGCTTCTTCATATTCCGAACGTACTTCTAATCAAAATTTCCAAATGGAGTTACACAATATACAAACCAATTAATTCATGGTGACAGAAGTGTGTCAAATTGACTTTCGTTCGAATGCCATACTATACCTTTTTAATGCATAATGAATTGGATCGAGATTCGAGAGATAGACCGCCTGAAGCACAATTTCAAGATAATGCTTTAAAAAAATGCGTTCGTTGATAAAATCATATATATATCATGGGAGCAAAGGTTAATTTCCTCCCATGTGTGTTTGATTTGAATAATTCAAATAAAACTTCACACGCGGAAGGAAATAGATACCTTTTCTTCCTTCATATACAGGGTGCCCCATAAGTAATGGATCAAAAGAAGTGGGGTGGTAGGGGGGGGGGGGTCATTTGTAATCGAACTAACGGTATATGTTGTTATCAAATTGTTGATAGTTCAAAAGTAATTCAATTTTTCTGAAAGATGCGACCCATTTGAAAAAAATGTATAACACAAAGGCTGTTTTGAATAACCCCGTATATTATACCATTTCAGAATCTGTATTGAATGGGCAACTTTTTCTTATGATTGGTTATCTTTGTGGGTTAGTTTTAAAATCTGTGAGCGGCATTTAAAAATTGACCTGAATATTTCATTCGATGACAAAACTCCAGGAGAACTAAATTTTTCTCAGGTAATTGATAAGAAGTAATACATGTCATAAAATTATTTCTGGGAAAAGGTGCATCCATGTGGATGAAATTTGTAGAAGAAAAAAATACAAATGTGACATAGTTTCATTGTAATTGATTCTTTTCGTAGAAATGAAAAAACATTGATAACTTTGGAACCATTAACAATTGGATAACCACATATACGGTTAGTTTGATTGGAAATGACCCCTCCGACCACCCCACTTCTTTTGATCCATTTTACTTATGGGACACCCTATATAAATAGCTATCAAATGAAGTCCCAACCTGATATTCAATCAAACTTGTGCAAAACTTTATATGAGAGCACTGTATAAAGAATTAGCCCCTCACTTGTTCCATTCATTAGTAAACACTTCAGCCTCCTGCTTCTTTGGAATAGAGTTTTCATGGTCGATCCTGTAACTTTATTGCAGTAGTTTACTGCCAGGCATTCAAGCTGAAATATAAGTAAATTATTTGTATTTTTACTCTCTAATCGTAATCGTAAAATTTACTGGTTTGTTAGTTTTCAATAAACTGAAATGGCACTATTAGTTCCCTCATAACAAACTTGCGCTATTATTTATGTATCTAAAATTCTCTTATTCAAAATATAGTATATTGTTTAACGAGCACCGAATGATAGTGATTTCCGACGAGGATGGAGTTTGCAGCATGAGCCGTTGGCGTGTAGGTATTACAGCATTTTATATTATCCAAAAAATGATGCATTCCTTATATGCACTTTCAAATTCAATTCACGCAATTGTGTTCTTGCCTATTACTTGACAATCTTATCGAATGTTTCCACAATGGGCTTATATCACAAAAAAATTTTATTTCATAACTCGATAGAACTCACCCAAACTAGCTCACCACCGCAAACCGTTTCTTGCTGTGAGCTCCCTACGTTTTATGAAAAATTATTGAAATTCACGATTTTTCGGAACTCTGAAAACGAGGCTATAATGTGACGTCAAAACCCTAGTACTGAAAGAAGACTATTCCAGACAGAGGTGAATGATACATGATTTCTGACAGAGTGAATTAGCGCGAGATCACATTTGAAAGAATTAATATATTAGTTGCCTCAGTCTCCGTCGGGCGTTTGGTATTTTCTTTTATCTATGGCGAGATGAGGTTTCTACGTCATAAGAGGGTCCGTTTTCAGAAGGTACTATTTTTTATGTCCAAAAATAAAACATTCCAGTTAATTTTTTGATCGAATTATGTCGTCAATCATTATTTATGTATAAAAGGATCATTAGTTGAGTTAAAAGTTCTACTAAGGTGTACACGCCTATTATTCCACCTACCTGTATACAATTGGAACTAAAAGCATCAATATGACTGTCATCCACGAAGTTGATCCCATACAAATTAATCACCCTCAAATTAGGCGTAGCCGACTTCAGCTTATGCACATTGATGACCTCGTAGATCTCCTCCTCCTCCTCCTCAATCTTCTCGTAAGTGCCGAGCAGGTGCAGGATCTCAAGGCCATTGATGAAGTTGTAGATCTTGCGCATGAAGCCCTCCATGAAGATGACCTCGGAGAGGCAAATGCACAGGTACCGCAGCTTGGTGGGGAAGGCTTGCAGCTCGCTGAAGTCGTGCAGCTGCATAGCTGTAGAGAAGTCAAGCAGCATGTGGGTGAGGTTGGGACACTTGTTGGCCAGCTCGTGCAGCACGGTGTGTGTGATGAGTTCTATGGGGAGCTCGATGTAGCGCAGGGAAGGTCCGAACCTGCTTGAAATCAGTACAGGCTGTCCCATTTTCGACGTCCTTACGGGATATCTCGCTTATTTTTGAAGATAGAGATTTGCGGTTTTCGCGAGCGTTGGCTACTTTTTTGTGAAACTCACGAAACCTTCAACAAAATTTCCATAGCCCGCTTCGTTCCTGAGATACAGGGCGAAATTGAAAATATTGCATTTTGAGACCCCCCTTGTATCTCAGCTATCTTTCAACTTAGAGGGAAAATAAGAATTGTTCCTTTCACAACTTTTCACGTAGAATCCAGTGGCGTAGTCAGATTTTTTAAATGAGCTGTCGTTATTTAGATATAACCCAAAGTTATGTTTTTTTAAACAGAACACCCTGTATGTTTTTCAATACTTGAAACAAGAAAGCTTTGCGCTTTTCAAAAATATATAAAACTTATATGATATTCTGAGTATTAGTCCTGTATTTGGGTAATTTTCAGTTCTTTATGTAGGTTTCTTATCAATAGGCCTTGTGAAAATGTGACAACATTATCCACTTCACAAATTTTCATATTTCCCTTATTGCTGACACTCACCACATTTACCAATATTCAGTACCATTAATTGCCTATGAAAGCTGTGGACCTAATTAGTAGGTAGCTATGAAAAAAAAAACACAAATGCAGATTGTTTACAATTCTTGTCACCTACCTGTCAAAGTTTACAAATTTTCATACAATGGCGAATAATAATCCAGGATATCAAAACTACTTTGTGAAGTGGATAATGTTGTCACATTTTTACAAGGCCTATTGATAAGAAACCTACATAAAAAACTGAAAATTACCCAAATACAGGACTAATACTCATAATATCATATAAGTGTTATATATTTTCGAAAAGCGCAAAGCTTTCTTGTTTCAAATATTGAAAAACATACAGGGTGTTCTATTTAAAAAACATAACTTTGGGTTATATCTAAATAACGACAGCTCATTTGAAAAATCTGACACTGGATTCTACGTGAAAAGTTGTGAAAGAAACAGTTCTTATTTTCCCTCTAAGTTGAAAGATTGCTGAGATACAAGGGGTGTCTCAAAATGCAATATTTTCAATTTCGCCCTGTATCTCAGGAACGAAGCGGGCTATGGAAATTCTGTTCACGGTTTCGTGAGTTTCACAAAAAAGTTGCCAACGTTCGCGAAAACCGCAACTTTCTATCTTCAAAATTAAGCAAGATATACCGTAAAGACATCGAAAATGGGACAGCCTGTACAGTTACAGTGTTAAAGGGTCGTGACACAATGCAAAAGAATGAAAAACGAAGAATGAATAATTTTTTCTTTCTTATATTCTGGTTATAACGAAAAGGGATATCCTGTAATGTTCAGAGAACATGGTGAGAACCAATGGAAATAATGTAGGAATTGGTGCAGAAAATCTCGCATTTCTGTCCCTTGATGTATCATGTGCTATTTTAAATAGTATATTACACACCGAGGTGGGAAGTGATTCATTCCTGTCGTGAGATTAGTTAGTTAACCGAGACGCAAAGCGTCGATGAGGTTAGCTATAATTTTGAGACAGGAATGAAACTTCCTCTACCGAGGTTTGTATACTATTTTATTTACTATAGGTAGTCAGGCGGCCATTCAATCTCTAACATGCAATAAAATCAGATCAAAATTGGTCTGGGATTGCCTTCAAAGCCTGCTAACCCTGGCTAAGCACAACAAGGTAACTCTTCAATGAGTGCCAGGGCATAAGGGAATTGAAGGCAATGAAGCAGCTGACGCTCTTGCCCGGCAATGGTCTGCGACGTTGTTTATGGGGCCGGAACCTGTGTTCGGTATCCCCAAAACCTCAATACGCGGCTGGCTGGCAAGGTGGATGCAAGAAAGACATCAGGCATACTGGAACAATGTCCCAGGACAAAGACACAGTAAACTGATGGTTGGAACACTGTCCAAAACAGTGACTAACGACATTCTGAGCCTAAACAGAAGTCAGATCAAACAAGTGACGGGACTAATAACCGGTCACTGCCCCTTGAGGAAACATATGCATCAAATGGGCATCTATACAGACGATCCCATATGCAGACTATGCAATGAGGAGGAGGAAACTGCCACCCATGTAATACTGGAGTGCGAAGCACTAGCGCGTTGGAGATACAACCTTCTGGGAACAGTAAACTCTCAAGAGGCATTTTCAAAGAATGATCTGGTGAAGAGGCTGCTAAACCTCATCAAGGTAGCGAACCTGTTCACTTAAGTCAACAGCATGATCAGGAATACAATAGGCCCAAAGGTTGCAGTGTTTTGGGCTTCAAACCCTGACTGATCATTCTGCTATTAGTCAATCAATCAATCAATAATCTACTATAGGTACCATCATATTTCGATCAAAATTGATAAATCTATGTTTCCTTTTGAACATACCTGAATTATTACATGAGTGAGGGCGGGAAGTAGTGAGGTCCGGGAAGTGAGGGCGGGAAGTAGAGGTGTGTAATGTGACACTTCCCAACCTTCAATGACGTTAGTAATGACAACATTACATATATGATTGTAAATAAACGTCTTTTACGAACCTGACGCTGATCAGGGCGAGTAGGGCTTCCAGGGATCCCACGTGGAGTCCTGAAATTTCCGGGCGGAGCGAGACGTTCTTCCAGAGTTTGGTGTCGTATGCTATCAAGCGCCATCTTTTGCACACTCGCGCCATTCGACATATTTCTTTGTGGGTTAGGTAACTGAAGATGTGGAGGAGGACTTTGTCTGGTAGTTTCTCGACTGTCTGAAAGCAAACATGTAAATCAGCTTAATCAGCTAATCCTTCATTCAGGAAAGAATGAACAATATAGCGGGTATGATTTTTCAAGTTGGCTCACCCCTATAACTTTTTTGTTATTGAAGATGGAAAAACGAGATTGTGGGGTTGTGTATTATAGTTCAATTTACATATTTTGACCTATTTATTTGCCTTGTACTTCCGGTTTTGCCGATTTTTGAATGGGACACCATGTATATTATTTTAAATTTTTGATCAAGAATGCCATGCATGGATCGTGTAAATGGCTCCACTCTTGATCAAATAACATGGAAAGAATATGACATTGAGGCTCATGACTTCAAAGCCGTTTTAAGAATCATTCAAAAGCCGCAAATATGATTTTTTCAAATGGAAAGGGGGTGGCTCGTCGGTTTTTTCGGTGACAGATAATTTTTTTGTCAACCTCCCGGCATCTCCCGGGAAATACCCACTTCCCGGACACTTTTTCTATGAGCCCTTACCATAGCAGCGAAATAACTGCTGGCAGTTATTCGACAATTTGCATGGTTCTTATTGGTTGCAATTATCGCAATGAACTATGGAAAGAAGCAGCGATAGTGAGTTTGAAAATGTGCGTTACGAAATTTGATACAAATAAGAATAAAATGTTCGAAAACTCATTCTACAAAGAGATATAATATGGAAATGTGTCTGATTGATTCGTTATTCTACAAGGTTGTCAAAAAAATAGTGTCCACGTCCGAAAAACAGTTTTTTTGGACCTGCAAACTTCCAAGACTCGCCTACGACACGGCCTAGAATTGTGTCTACTCCTCCAAAAAAAAAACGGTATTTTCCGGACTTGTTACGTAAATTACTTTTCTTACGAATAATTTGATACCACACACCTCAACTTTATTTTCACTATATCTCCGAATAATTGCAAATATAGTGATCATATCTACTAACAAATAATAGCTACGTATACCGTATACTCAAGCTCTGCGTCTTGAATAGCTTACATTATAAAGACCATATTGCCATGAACATTATTTCTAGAAATTTTTTTTTTAGATAAATATCTATCACAAAACTTTTATTATTTTATTTCTTCTTCTCTTTAGTTTGGTTATCCATAAAAACTGGATTCTTTAGTTTTTCAAACTATTCTATTCATTTTCTACTTCTTATTCGGCATTCTATATCTTTTCATTTTTTCAAACTACTCTTTATTACCTACTCACATCTTTTTAGTTCGGCTTACAATAGCTGATACCTGGCAAACGTTGTTTTGCTTTATACATTTATTTCTTATTTCTTCTTTTTAGTTGAATATAACACACTTTTCTTATTTTGTTTTCTACTTCTTTCTAGTTCAGCTACCCATAAAATCGTGTTTCATTAGTTTTTCAAACTACTATTTTCATTTTCTACTTATCTTTAGTTCGACAATCTATCTCGTTTTTTGAACTATACTATAAATTTTTTACTTCTATTCAGTTTGGCCTCGAGTTTGGCTACCCATAAAAGCATGTTTTCCATATAGTTTTCCAAACTACTATTTATTACAATTACAAAGCTCTTTCACCATATTGGATCCGCCATTTCGAATTTCACAAATTTCAAGAATGAAATCATAAATCTCCGACCCCGAAAACCCTCAGATACAAATTTCGAACCGAATCGGATAATAATTACAAAACTCGTCCGCCAAATTGGATCCTCCACCTTTAATTTTCTAACTTTGATGAAAGAATCATTATCTCCGACTCCGAAAACCACCCGATACCAATTTTGAATAGAATCGAACCATAATTACAAAACTCGTCTGCCATATTGGATCCGCCATTTTGACAAATGATTCATATCTCCGACCTCTAAAACCTTCAGATACCAATTTTGAATAGAATCTGACCATAATTACAAAACTCGTCCGCCACATTGGATCCGCTATTTTCAATTTCCAAATTTTGACGAACGAACCATAATCTCCGACCCCGAAAACCGTCATATACCAATTTTGAATATAATTAGATCATAATTACAAAACTTGTCCGCCATATTGGATCCGTCATTTCGAATTTCCTAATTTTGATGAAAAATCATAATCTTTGACCTCGAAAACCCCCAGATACCAATTTTGAATGGAATCTGACCATAATTACAAAACTCGTCCTCCATATTGGATCCGCCATCTTGAATTTCCAAAATTTGACGAAAGAATCATAATCTCCGACCCCGATAACCCCCAAATACCAATTTTGAATGAAATCGGATAACGATACTCGTCCACCATATTGGATCCGCCATCTTGAATTTTCGATTTGAAAAATAGATCACGACCGATTCTCATACCTACAGAATACGCACAAAAAATGTCATACGGAGGAGTTCGACCACTTACACCGTGACCGGGACAGGAGAATTTTATATATTAGATTTTATTAGACTTGCACAACGTTTATCATGAGAGTTCCTTGGTCAGTTTTCATAGTTCAATGTCAACATTGTCAACGGATTATTTGATTAACTTTATGTTCATAAAACCGTCATGTTCGAAATTACTTTCCATACTTATGCTCAATGTGTGTGACAGAAAAAGAAGTTTCGATATTGCGAAGTCACACCTATTGAGCATATGAAAACTTCGAACGAAAATATCTTCGTGATCGTTTGAAATAACCCTATATCAAACCCGGTATCAATCAATTCGTCATGATAATCCCTAACCGATTATGGAATAAAATACAGGGTGTCCCATTTAAAAATCAAATGTTGGTGGCATTTCCAGTGAAATCGGAAGTGGAAGAACAAAAACGGTGTTGTCAATAAATGAGGAATTTGGTGTACTTGCTACCACCACTTCTCTGTTGGAATATGGTTAACGTAGGGTGAATTTATTTTCTTTATAAATAACTCATGATGTTTGTGAATGCGATTAAACTTTTTTACTCGAAATGCTGAAAAGGTTTCCTCTATTTCCTCACTTTCAATTTCAGTCAGAGTATACGTATAATAACATGAATATGAATAGCTTTTCCTGATAAATTATTCACCAGAGCCTGACATGAGGACATCATTGTACCTACCAACTAGGGATGCATCAGGAAAATATTGTTGAATGACTCGAAGATATAGAAAAATTACTACAGTAAAATAGTACGTAATGAAGATAAGGTTGCCTTCCCATTAGTATCAAATTACAAGTGGTAAGTCGATAACAAATCATTCGAATCATCTGAATTTGATATTGCTCTTCTCGGATTTTGTAGCCAGCATCTGCAGAAATAAAAATTCAATATCTGCGTGATACTGCAAGAGATAATATTATATCTTTGAGCTTTGTTCATCTTAAATCCGAATATCTCCGAGTGAAAATTGCTCATGTAATATACAGGGTGACATTGAAATAAATGCAAATATTTCAAACCCTGAGAATTCTAATCATTGTTATTGATAATTCAGGAAACAATGGGAAGAGAACAGAGTGGAATTCCGCCCAGGGAGTCTAGCAGTCTAGTATGTTATACGGACGGATCGTGCCTAACTGACAAACAGGACTCAGGTGCAGGAATTTACCTAGAAGGAATAGGCATGAGGGAGAGCTATGCTCTTGGAAAGTATACCACAGTTTTCCAGGCTGAGGTCTTTGCCATTCTGGCAGTAGCGGAGAGGCAAGAGGTGAAAGAGGGACCGGAGCAGAAGATTTACATCTGCTCGGATAGTCAGGCGGCTCTCAGGGCTGTTTGCCATCCTAATCCAAGCTCAGCTTTGTTGCAGGATTGTGGCGATGCTCTTCAGAAACTAGCTGAACAGAAGGAAGTCGAACTAGTATGGGTTCCGGGGCACAGGGGGGTGCCCGGGAACGAGGTGGCCGACGAGCTGGCTAGAATCGGATCCGCGACACCGTTCTGGGGACCGGAGCCTGCACTGGGCATAACAAGAAGCCAAACTTCGTCTGCCCTTAAAAAATGGATATTGGAGGCGTATAGGCGGCTGCAGGCAATCGAGAGACCTGGTGGCCGATCCAAGCAAGCCTAAGACGGCTTGGTTACTGGGCAGGGATCGCCAACTCCTGCGCCTTCTAATAGCGGGATACTGACAGGGCACAACAGGTTACGCAGACACCTATCACTCATAGGTGTGGAAGATAATCCCACTTGCCGTGAATGCGGAGAAGATGAGGAGACATCATTTCACTTCCTCGGAGAGTGCGACGCGTATGGAAGGATGAGATTCGAAATCTTTAGATTAGATGAACTACAACAGGAAGATTTGGTCGATAGAGTGGACGGACATCCTGACCTTCATCAGAAGGACGGGAAGGTTCGATAAAAACAACTAAAAGAGGGATGTGTAGATATGTGGAGAGCAGGGGTTGGCAAAAAGGGCCCATGGGGGCCTACTTGCCTGGCTACAGCCTCCCCACAATACTCTACTACTACTACTACTACTATTGATGATGCCACAATCAAATGAAACCAGAAGCCATCAGAAGCGTTTCGATAACAAAGGTGAATAAAAATATCACCTAACACCCATCTATAACCTTTGCCTGTGATTTTTCAGTTTTGAAATTCAAATGATGCGTTATGAAATACATTTTATATTTTTTGAAATACAAATTACTATTTTGGTATTAGAAGTGTTAGTTTTTGAAACTAATTTGAGAATTTTGAAATTCAATTGAGGTTTTTTGAAATTTAAATGAATAATTTGAAATTCTATTTACGCATTTTGAAATTGAATTTATGATTTCAAAATACAATTGACTGTTTTTGAACTAAAATTGGAAAAGGTGTAGGTATAGTGTTGATTGGGTATCAATATAATTTTAGGTCGCAAACAACAACAATAAATATGCTGATTATGACGTATAGTACACATAAAAGCAGTCTTCAAATTTGGCACGATACATAAATGAATAGCCAAATCCGAAATTGGTTTTGGAATCCATGCCTACCGTTCCGGCGAAAGGGCTTTTAGCTGCGGTGCCATCTGTGAGGTAGACTTGGGAGGCTTCTAAGGCCAGTTGACCCCAAACATCGGGAGAAACGTCCATGTTTTCGCGAAAAGCTGACACTGCACGGGAAATTCGGCCAAAACTGTTAAAATCGGATTTTTCACGAAGCGGAGCTCTCTGAATTACGATAGAAAATAGCACGATCTAAAAATATCGAAACCGCGAAGCGAGCCAGATCCATTTGTAATAAGTTGTGGATTTATAATTTGCAGGGCATGCACTACATAAGCATAGTTTTTATGTGGATATTGATGAAGATCAACCGAAAAAATCTAGTCACCCAGCGAGCACAAAAACATCTCATAGATGTTAATAGTACGAGATGTCAAGACATTGAACCTCCACTTCGAATAGAACTTTCATAGAACAGCCAATAACCGCTGCAGGCGGCGTTCATGAAGATATCCTAGGGATATCACAAATAGTTATTTATTTCTGACAGTGACATTATAAGCTTATATCGTCATAGTTACGATATCTATAATGAGGGTCATAACTCCCTTGGGATATTAAGGTTCAAAAACTCCCTCTTACCTTTTACAGGTGAAAATGATACAAGAAATGCTTATAAACGTTTATATGTAATGAAAACTGAGACATATTTTCCTTATTCACGTCATTACAAATAATAAATGTACAATTTTCAAATGTTCCCTGAAAATTACTTCCGCCGCTGGAAACAATTTCTTCTTTTTTATGGGTGGTGCTGTTGCTGTTCACTACAGTCGAGGTGCCTGCCTCTTCTGATGGCAAAGTAGACAGCATACGCGCCGTTTTATTTCTCAATTCAATACTGTCCTCCAGATACCCCTCTGCCACCCTGGAACTTCTCCAACCTCCGTGTCTTTTTAAGTTTGTCATAGTTGCTCCTGCATTGGCTAGGGCAGTAGCAGAAGTGCGACGAAGGCAATGTCCCGTATAGGTTAGTGGGTTTGGCAATCCTAAATACATTGCGATTTTGCTGGGAATTTTGCCAAACATATTCTTTCCAATTGGCTGAGTTGTACATTTATTTTGTCGGAAGCTCAAAAAAAATCGTTTTGTACCTTCAGGACGCAAGGACATATAAAGTCTCAATAAAGGCAAAGCAGAGAACTCTTTTTCATCCCAACTGTAAATTTCTTCGATACACCAGTTTTACTTTCCGGTACGTTCACTACCATAACAGTATCCCGGTCCTCTATATCTGCTATACTCATATTTAGAAGTTCCTGAGTTCTGCATCCTCCAAAATAACCCATAATTAGAACAACCTATAACAAATAAAACGAAATAAACAAACGAAAAAGAAAATTATGAGAAAAGAATTACCTTATGCAATAAATGAATTTCATTAGGGGCGTCCTTTAGAAATTTGATGACATCTTTAGGAGATAAGACAGCAGACTTTTTCGGCTTGTACCCCTTACTTTTCCGTTTCAAAAAAGCCTCTAGTTCGTTGAACTTGGTGATATCTCTTTTCTCATATATGGTCACCATCGATTTGAGCATTGACCATTTAGTCCATAACGAATTTGGGCTAAACGTTTCTGACTGCAACGAATAAACACAATTATTACCAAATCTACCAGAAAATACTCAAAATACTTCACCAGTTCTTGAAAATATGCCAGAAAGACAGTTTCGTTGGCATCTTTTGACATAACATTTCTCTGTGTCAGCCACTTCAGATATAAGTTGTATTCTTTTTGATATAGGGCTTCACTTTTCGATGGAAGTAATGATTGTCTTGCTTTTCCGCTTTTTTTATAATATCCTCCATTATATCAGAAAAAGATCGTCGATTTGTGGTAAAAAATAAACATGTTTTTAACGGAAAAACATTGATTGATAAAGAAAGTTTGCTTATAAACATGTAACATAGCGACAACCTAGCAAACAACCAACAATGCTACAATCAACGCTACCTAATTCAAATATACCAGAAAGGTTATGAATTTAAACATTTATTGCATTCTAAATATGGACATATTGTTATGAAAATCGGTCAGAAATAAAATTATCTATGTACCACGGGAATTATAGAGCCTTAATAACCTCTGGCAATTGCTGTCCCTCGGGCCAGAGGCCCTCGGGACGCAAACTTTGCCATCGGTAATTAAGGCCCTCATAATTCCCTTAATACATAAAATACGTTATTCCTGGTTTTTTTTCTATAGATAGATAGATAATTTATTGTATTTGAAAAGAATTACAATTCGTATTACAATAAGGGTTGAGCTTCATTAATGTCCGAGATGAAAGGTGAGAAAAGCAAAGAACTTAGAGATTCACCCTAGAGAACTCCTTCCGCGATGTCATATGGTTTTTCTACAAGCGTGCGTGGTTCACCCTATACCCGCACGCAATTTAGTTTGGGAAGTGTCATTTTCCCGTAACAGTGCCGGAACATTTTTCCCACACTAGTGCGGGAAATTTTTTGATTAATGACTTTGTGAAATTTCACTATTATTCCTATCAGTTGAGAAATCAAGAACCAAAAGAAAAACATGTTATAGACAGAAAAATACATATCTTTTAGAATTTGTGAAACAGATAAGTGAATATTCTGAGAACAAATAGGTATGCAATAATTAGTTCATATATGTAGATAATATGTCCAAGCTATATCGGTATTATTATTATAGGGTGTTTTTAATTATGAAATTGTGTACAATAGATAGTTACCTAACAGAAACATCAAGCAGCAATTTAAATTTGCTAGATAATCGAATTGGTAAACAATAACTTAATGCCAAGTTGTTTTTCATTCATGAACTAGAATAAAAATATTGAGATTGAATGATATCCTGATCCTAACCAGTCTTATCGGACTTATATGAGTAATCAGTAATAACAACAAAATAATTAGTTACCTGTCTATCTTTCCTACACACACTATAGCTGCCATTACAAAATTCCGAGCAAAATTCATACTCGAAAAATTACAGGAAATATAACTAACTATAATTCATTACTTCTATACCTACTAATTATAAAAAATCACAGCCTTGATGATTTAATTTGAAGAAATAGATATGTAACATAATTATTCCAATCTTCCCCATCTTATTCTCAATAATTATGATTTGATTCATTTATTTTAGATTACATCAAGAATGAAAGACGTCAGATTAAAAAAAAAAGATGAAACGTTGTTGGGCCACGTTTGGTTTGTTCATGAAATAAGTTATTTTTCCAGATTTTTTGAATGAGGTGTCATTGGCTACCGTGTAACAAAGGGTGACGATCAATGTTTTCTTTTAGGTTTCTGATGGGGAAAATTAAAGCACAGTGATATTTTGAGGAAATGATCTGATTTGTCTTCATTATTAAATAATACTAAAATTTTTATTCATAGAAACGATGAGAAAGAATCTAGAAAAAACTACATTCACCATCACTGCCCAGGAAAAAATTCAGTCAAATCTGGACAAATTGGTCGCCCTGTGATTATTTAATTCCTCTCTGATTTTGGTAAAATTTCAACTAAATCGTTGATTTATGTCTCGGAATCTAAATGTAGGTACATACTTCTGAATTTTACATCCGAATAAAAGCTGATGGCTTCATCATTAGGTAGGTATACATCAAGGGAAAACAAAAGTTACTCTTTCACTCTTAACTTCTTAACGTCTTGTGGAAAAGTGAGTGGTTAAACTTGGCTTCGTTATGTTTCGGATTGAAGTGTGGTCCCTTGTCAACCCAATGGTTTTTGATTCACTTTAATATCTTCTTTCAATGAATAGATCAAGTGTTGGAAAGTATGGAACATTTCAATTTCCATTTGGTGACTTTTGACAACTTAGCTTCGTGAGTGAGAATGAAAGATCATCTGACTATCTCAATCTGACTAATAAGGAAGCAGCAGCAAAACAAATGACGTCACCATGTATCCGAACGTTTTCCAAAACATGGCCAAATGGCGGTCATAACGACACGTTTGAAATGAGCTCTGGAATTCAACAATTTCGAACAGCGCATAGACACATAATATTTATACATAAAAAGCGTAGGAAGTATTGCAAATAGAAGATTGTTTTATTAGGATCAAAAGTCACTTTTGATCCGAATGTAACATTCTATTTTTCATCTATCTATCTATGAATTACTTGACAGATTATTATAATACCGGTATTATAATGATATAGGTAACTAGATAATAGCAAGACATTATTAGAATAATTGTAGACAATGACTTTACTTTGTTACAATTTGTGTTGACATGCATCATGAAATACTACAGGCACGAATTCAATACTATTCCCGAAACGTGGATACCGTGCCATATAATGTATGGAATACAACAAATAATCCGATAGAATATAGGAAAAAGAAGTGGAAATTGTTAAGTTAGTGAGCATATCAACAATAATAATAGCGACTATTTATTTCTCCCAGTATTCCACTGTGTTTGGCTCGGTGATCAAATGAGCGTAAACAATATCGTTGTGTGAGACAAAGAATCAGATCCTGCGAATGAATAAAATAAAGATCAAGCTAGTATGTGAATCTTGAAGGTTTTCCTGATCAAAACAAAAATATCTAACTATAATAAGGTGTAGTTATATCTCCAGCATCGGTATTATATGCCAAAATAGTTTGCAATTTTCAACAAAATCAGAATTTAATCGCGGATTAACACATAGATGGATACCAAACGATGCTGTTATTTTTTTTATATAAGAGCGTTGATTGATATATTACGCTTACGCTGATTTTATAAATCGTGTTCCTAAAAATTTATTTCGATATTAGCATTTTTCAATTATAAAAAACACAAACTTTTTTATTTCTGTGCAAACATAATACGAAAAATAGTTATTTGTTTAACTAGGCAGCAAAGTAGTAGATTGACTGCCGAGGCTGAATTCATAGCCGAGCGTAGCGAGGCTAGGAATCCAGCTAAGGCAGTCAATCTAATTTGCTGCCGAGTTGAACATATAATTTTTTCTCCGATTGTTCATAATGATATAGGAGAATATTGTAATTGCATTTTACTTGGTTCTTTGGGATTTTCTCTCCTCGTTTCTATAAAATAAAAGTATTCGTATTATTTCAATATATTTGTAGAGGGACAAATCAGATGATTTGCCCCAAAA